AATATTGGTCCAGATGTATTTAAAATCCAAAAAGCCTCAGATTCCTGCTTACTGCTACCTTCAGCTGTAGATAGTCACTAATTGCACCCCATTTACTATGGAATAGCCATCTGTGTCAGGTGAGTGGAGGAAAAGCTATCAAATCACAGCTTCAAATTCACATCAAAAAGATTTCTAAATTACATCAGGCTTTTTTAACACATGTTTTTTACCTTTGATCAAGCACAGGAAAATCATCCTCATTTCTATGCATTTTGTGGGATGTCTTGCCTATATTTGGCAGATGAGTTGGGTTTTTTCTCTCTTCCTCTGGTGTTGTATCTACCTTGGCTCCATCATCCACTCCCACTGTAATTGAAGAAATAATTTTATTAGGCATTAATTCATTGTCATACATGTTTGCTTTCAGATTTAATTCCCAAGCCACGCTGGCTGTCCCCAGTTTTGAGATCTTGTCTCAATTATCCCAGCCCATAATCTGTCAAATCTTTTGATTCCCAACCTGTAGGGTACCCAGCACAGGAACATGGCACTGTTGGGGTTTATTTCACAAATTTTCTCTCTCTGAATTGATTAATCACGTGGCAGGATTCTCCATGACCATCTCAGGTTTCAGCGTTCACAACCAAGATGAAAATCCACATTTAAGCATTTTCAGCTGGTGCTGAGCAGTGCTGAGGGTGCTGCTGCTGTCCAGAGGAGCTTGCAGAGGGTTTTACCTGGAAGGAAGGAGAAAAGGAGATGGCAGGGAGTGCCCAGGGTGTCAAACCCCAGAGCTGGTTCTGCTGGCTGTCAGGGACCAGGGCATTAGCTCCACTGGAAGGGAAATAAATAATATCAGAGCCACGAATTCCTGGAAGAGGTTCTAAGGGAGGTTCTGGAGTTCCCTTCAACAGAAAGAACAGGTCAATAAAGTCAAACATCTCTCTTTGATTTTGGGTTGCTGCACAGAGCAGCAGATCTTGAGGAGCCTCTTTCTACAGTTCTAAATAGTTTTATTTACCTGTGTTACCAAGCTAAGCAAGTATCAACTTCTAAAATGTGAATCTTATCTTCAATTGAAGCTTTTTTCGTCTAGCATTTCCATTTCTCAATTCAAGGAAAACAGTCAGCAGTGTTATTTAGGAACGGAGTTCAATAAAAAAGCTCCTGCTTGCTTCACTGATTTTTCTCCTCAGCAGTGTTTCCTCAAGGATATAGTATATGCAATAATTAAATAATTAACCATTCTAAGACAATTTTCTGCTTAAATGACCATGCATTATATGTAACAGTCTTCTGGGTTTGCTTAGAGGTGAAATGCAAATCTAAAGAGAAAAACATCTCAAAAGAACATAATTATGGTCTGACAATTAGTACCATCCTATGGCTCTTGTAGCCTCATGAAGGGTTTTACAGAAAAGAGTAGAGGAATAATAGTCTGGAATTTCTTTTTTAAAGGCTGATTGAACCAGGCAACATCACCAGCTTTTATAGACCAGTTTTGCTCTGCAGACATCAATGGAAACATATCTGCTCTGTTCCTAAAATGAAAGAAGGGATAACTCCAAGAACCTACAGCACCTTCTATTTGAAGTGAAAGGTCAACTCTCCCATTAACTTCACAAAATCCCTTCAGAAGTTAATTCAAATTTAACAGGATTATAATACTCATTTCAGGGCTTATTAGGAAAATTCCACTAACAGTATTTGTGATATTGACAGTTGATATTCAGCTTAATATTTTGTTAGCTCAGCTTAAACAAAATTAGGGTTTGTGGTCAGTTCTGGGAAGGTCTCGGATATTTTCTAAACAGATCCTTCCAGATGAATTTTGCAAATGCAAAAAGTCACTGGGATTAAGATCCACCAGAAAAAAGAATAATAAGTTTGGGTTTAATTACCTTTAAATAGAGATCAGTTCCTCCAAAGGCCTCAGATAGAAAAAGGCAGGAGAAATTTCATTTAATGACCTATGAGTCAGTATATGTGAAATTAGATATAGCTCTTCCCATTCTTTCATCCCATTTACTCTAATCAATCATTCCATAGTTATTACATTTTTAGGTTATACAGAGAAAGAAAACAAAGAGCAGAGTTTTGTCCCTAACAACAACAAAACCCCCAAAGTGCCACAATCTCCCAAATTATCACAATTGAAGTTGCAAATAACAACTTCCCCAATGTGCTTTTCACCATTTGTTCTATATCCTTTGCATATTCAGTTTCTCAGTCTCACAGGCTATTATGATCTACTTTCCATTCTGTATCACCATGGATATCTTATGATCACAAATTATGCTGCCACATCATTAACATTAAATGTTCCAATACAGTAAAACTACCTCATCTTTAATCTCTACTTTTTAATCAGCCAACAAGGTCAGCTTGACCTTCTGGAGTACCCAAAGCCCTCCTGCATTCACTTGCATCAAGCAAGAAGTGTAATTTTTTGCTTCTGAAAATCTAAACCTTCTCTATGGGGTCACTGAGTGGATCCCTGTGCTCAGTGCAACATTAAACTGGCTGCAGCTTTAGAGTTCATTTTGTTTTCAGCACCATTATTCCTCTATTAAATGAAAAGTTGTTTGCTAAAGCAAATGAGACAATTCTGTTGGTGACATCTTAATTTTAGGTCTGTTTTGTTTTTCTGACTGCAGGGGTGCAGGGTGGGATAATTCTGCTGGTTCAAGCACCATGAAGCACTTTCCATCATCGAGCAACAAGTCTTGGCCAGGAAAAAAAAAGGTCTTTTAGAACATGCTGCACATAATTATTTCACTGCCAGATACAAGGACTTCATGTTCTTCTAATTACTTTTTTTCAGTTGTGGAGTGCTGGTATTTGTCAGCCACAAGCAAATGGAGGGAACAACTGAAAGGCACAACTGAAATGGCACAACTGAAAAGGCACATCTGCTCTTAGCAAGTGTAGCAAGAAACACCAACACTTTTTAGGTCTATTTTATTTAAGCTGATATTTGTAAAACCAAGGTCAGGAAAAAAGTTTTGCAAGACAGGAACTCTCAAGTGTTGGAATCCTTTAAAACATCCCTCAGAAGGCTGTTCTGGAATCCCAGAGCCCCAAGGTAGAGAAATGGTCACAAGGTTTACTAGGACATCCAGCCCTAATGGAGTCAACACCAGTTGGAAAATTTGGGTATTTTCACCATCTTTCTGTTTAAAAGGCTCTTTTCTCACCCTACAATCACATCACCAATTAAGCTGATGAGGTCTGACCACACATCTTCACATCTTTGGTCCTGTTTGACAGAGCTCCTGGGATTCATTTGCATTTTTTAGGTTTAGATATCAGGAGTGATTCACAGTCATCATGCAATACAACTCCTTCATTTGAATTCTGCTCCTCCTCCTTCCAACACTCATGATTCCACCTGAAATTGTTTTTATTTCCTAAATGAGCACCCTTGAATTGTGTACTACTGAACTACATCCTATTTCAATTATTCCAGTAATTCATTCCATTTCAACAATTTTCTTCTCAGAAAAGCATAGAAATACATGAAAGGAAATCCCTGACTGCCCTTTACAGTTGTTCATAATATTGTGATGCAAGGTTGGTCAGCCAGAAATGAAGTCTGTGCTGAATTTTAGGATCACGGAATGATTTGAGTTGGAATGGCCTTAAATCCCACCCAGTGCCACCCCTGCCATGGGCAGGGACACCTTCCACTGTCCCAGGCTGCTCCAACCTGGCCTTGGGCACTGCCAGGGATCCAGGGACAGCCACAGCTGCTCTGGGCACCCTGTGCCAGGGCCTGCCCACCCTCACAGGGAGGAATTCCTCATTCCCAATATCCCATCTGACAGTGGGAAGCCATTCCCTGTGTCCTGCCATTCCAGTTCCTAATGAACAGTCCTTCTCCAGCTTCCCTGTACCCCTTCAGATCAGGGAGGTGCTGTGAGGTCTCCACACACCCTTCTCTCCACCAGGCTGAATTCTGTCTCAGTTTCTGTTTATCTCAGGTTTTTTAGTCTCCTCCTCAGCAGGGCTTGGATGATGACTGAGGTTGCAATCAAATGCAATTACAAATTCCTGATGGCCCAGAAATTCTTGCTTTACTCAGGCTTAGAAATGGCAGAACACCATGAGATATTTGCAGCCTGAAGGGAGATTTTGGAAGAACGGTATCAGCAATCCAAAATTCATGTCCAAAGTGGAAGATCCACCCCTGCCTTAATTACAACATCATTACTTGGATGCCACACTTGGCTGGGTTGTGTCACCAAGCCATGTTTCAAGCCTTGGGAGCAGCAGACGGGGTGAGTACAGAATGCTGGGACTTTCCTTCAAGCATTCTGTACTTGAACAAAAATTAAAAGGTCATCTCTTCAGCTTCTCTGGGGAAAGACTGATCACAGCACAACTCAGGGCATCCTGGAACAAATAGAAGCAACTTGATGTTGACAAGTTCATTTATCTTTTGGCAAATTCTACCAACAAAAATGTACCAATAAAGGGGATTGTTCATTTAAAGAAAGGCTACATGTTTTGTTTTTCAGCCAGAATGTGTTTTGTTCATACCCAGTGACAGCAAAGAATTTAAATGCCATAGAATTTAAATGTACAATTTTAGCTGTGAAAAATAAAGCTACATCACTTTGGAATCTGAAAACAACAATTCTTGTTTGGCCATTGGGTTTGGAGAAAAAAAGATGAACCCTTGACAACTTCATGACAAACCCCAAGTCCTGACAGGGTTAGGACTGACATCAGGTATAGATTCAGTCAGAAAGACAAATAATTTTGTGATTTGAAATTCCTTAGTTAACTCCTGTTCATTTTTCTCTTGGATTTGCTCTGGAGCATGAAGTGTCATTATCCCAGAGTCATGTAAAAAGAAGAACATTTCCTAAAACTCCAGATAAAAGCATTTTTTTAGCAATTATAACAAAAATAGCTGGATGTGTTCCCAACAAGATTCCTTACTGGGATTTGTATCTGTTTATCACTGATAAAGAAAAGAACTCACAAACAACAAATTAAAATTATACAAACTAATACTGTATGCTCCCAGGTTACAGTAATTGCTTTTTAGCTGTAGTCTGCCTGTGAAATATCCATGACTCTTAAAAAGAAATTATTTAGTAATCCTTACAACTCTTTAAAATGCCCCTTTTGGGCAATTTTCTTTTCTCTTTCTGCTGCACATATGAGTTTGTTCCAAAAATGAATGCCTGTCAAAAAGAACACAAATGCTAAGCAGGCTTGGAAGGACTCAAAAGAGGCTGTTTTGCTGAAGAAAAAGAAATATCCTTTCTATTGGCAAGTCAGACTTTGTGGAGGAACTGGAATATCGAGCTGTCTGACTAACAGAAAGGAAGATGGATGACTCCTCCTGAATTAGATGCTTGAAACCTACTTCTGCTCAAAAGGGAATATAATCAATTTGGGAAAGAGTTGCCTCCAACACTGGGAACGCTTTATCATAAATAGTAGATTGCATTTGAACTTTACTTGAGTGTTTTAAAGGTATTATTAGAGCTTAACCTTCAAAATGAATAACAGTTTATTTGCGCAGTTACTCAGGGAAACAGGTTGAGATACCTACTTTGAATAATATTCTACCCTGTCCTTTACACCCCACTTCTTCTATTTATTATTAGCTGGGTTTATTACTCATTTAATTTGTCCCTCTTTGTGTCCAGAGGCAGCACCTGAAGGGCATGGACCAAACACGAGCTCAGATAGCCCTCTGCAGATGAGGAGCTCCATAAGGACCATCAGGGAAGGGCTTGCTAAGCTCCCAACCTCCCCTTGCTCGTCCAGAACCTCCAGGAGGGACCCCAGGTGCTCCAGGGAGTGTCCTTGAAGGTCACACCCTGAGAGAAGGTGCTGTGAAAATTTTACTGAATTTTTTCCTGTATTTTAGATGTAACACTGGCCAGAAGGTGAGGTGCAGGGATCACAGGTTGTTACTCTGTTGTCATCTTATTGCAAAGGTCCCCATTTCTTCTCAGTGACTTCTCACGGACAGCTCCTCACAGCACTGACTCCTTCTCAGCACAGCCAACAAACTCCATCTCTCTCCTCACCCAGCTAACCCACTCTTTTTTTAGCACTTATCTTCTTATTGGACACAGCTGTGGCCTGTTAAGGGCAGGTCTGTTCCTAATCTCTGGTGATGAGTGCAGCTGTAACTCCTCAGGTGTGAGACTGCCTTCTGCACTATCTTTATTTTCTTACATTCTATCCCTCCACATTACTCAAGTTCTAGCAGAACTCACATTGCTCTCCAAATGTCCTGGAATGGGATCATTCATCCCAACCCTCCAGCTGGAGACTCCAACTGAGGTTCTGAGAGCTCACAACTTCCACTCTGTAAATTCAGTTAAGATCTGGCACTAAGCAGTTTCAGAAGGAAACCTATCAGATCCAAAGGGCAATCCCAGCCATGAGGTCACAGGCAGCCCAGAACACTCTGCAGCTGTTTCTAATTTTTATTTCATGCATTTCAGTTGAAATTTTACTGAATTTTTTCCTGTATTTCAGACGTAACACTGGCCAGAAGGTGAGATGCAGGGATCACAGACTGTTACTCAAGTTCTGGTAGAACTTACACTGCTCTACAAACATCCAAGCTGAAAAATTCCATTTACAACTAGTAAACTCCATGTAATTTACAACCAATTCACCCACACATGCGTTTTGCCTACTCTTGATGATATTCTTAATAGAATAAAAGTTATCTAATAATTTAATTGCCAAAAATCAAAATCCATTTGTATTTTGATGCCTTTTAAATGTCTCTATGAATAATCCAGCTCCGGATTTCACTCCTATAAGGTGTACATCTCATTTGCTAACAAAATTAAGTATAGGAAATAAATCTGGATGCTCACTTCCTTTTTGAACTTGGCATGGGTGAATATATCAACTTCCAAAACCTGTGCCTTAGGTCTTTGTTTCAGAAACAGAGATCTAGATCAGAAACCTCAGCTTTCTTACAGAGCAACAAATATTAAACTAATAAAAATTATTAATTGTTTTTGTTATATATTCCCATTGTGCTTAAATATCTTCATGCTCAGTACAAGTCATATTTAAGTTAAGAACAGTTATGTTTAATACCTGTGGAAGTAGCACTGGTGTAAAATCAATGACAGGAATAAGTCATTGAAAAAAATGAAGAGTTAAGACAGACAAATTTCAAGGACTGTTTCTGTTCACTAAGTGCTCTAAAATACTTCATTAAATATGCATCAGAAAACAAGGAATTTCTGTAATATTAAAATATGGTGCCATTTCTGTAATGTTAAAATATGGTGCAATTTCTAGGGCTGCTAAAAGTCAGAGCATTATTTTATATTTAAAATGTAATCCATTTGCACTGAAACAATACATTTGTAAAATCCATGGTTTTCGTACCGTAGCTTTTCACTTTGATGCAGAGCTCCCTTGGCCTCAGGAAAACAGCATTTACATCTTTTTCTGATTTTTCACATCCACAAATTCAATCTTCAAGCTCTTAATTCATTTCTGGAAAAAAAAAAAAAAAGGAAAAAAGCAATATAGTGTGAGAAATACCAACTAGAGGGAGAGGCATGATCCATTGAAAAGGGGAATTTCTTGGGGATTTTTGCCCCACTTCACTGTAGACCTTTCAAGGGTCCTTGGGAATATTTAATATTTCATGTGTCTCTTCCTCTGAGCATATTCTCCTAAATTTCATTTCAGTGTGCAGCCACCAGGTAAGAGCTGTTCAGGCAGTGATGCAGAAGGATGCAGCAGGGACTGCTTCCCCAATATCTCCCTGCATGAACAGGTATGCAAGAGGAGAATGGAAAATACCAGGAATGGCAGGAGCAGCTCTCCATGCCTTGCCCCAGCTAGCCTGACATGCTGAAATGGAATCTCTGGCCACTGCACAGAATTGCCAAAGGATCACCTCTCTCCATAATTTTGAGTGTTTAAAACATTTTTTAAATTTTTTGTTATTATTATTTTCTTAAAACTGTGAAGCAGTAGAGATAGCTGGACACAATGATAGCCAAGAAGATGAGGAGAAGCTTAGAGACCCTGTGAAGAAAAAATGGGTTAGAGCATCCCTAGGTTGAGAAGCTTTTTCCTACACACTTGCCAGGCTGGCTGGACTAACCCAGTCTTCCTAGAGAGCTCCCAGGAGAATGAAAAGAGCACACACAGAACCAAAACCTCCTTAAAAAGGGAAACCTGCACAAAAACCCTGCAGACAGGGGTTCATTATCAACAGATCCATACCAAAGTGGAGAGGACTGTGGCAGAGCTCTGTAGGATCCAGCACTAATCCATACTTGGATTAATTCCTTGCACAACAGGTTTGAGCAAAGAGGCAGCAAGAAATCAGAATTCTGAAGCTTTGTGGGCAGGCAGCAGGCTCCTGGCTTTACCTGAGGAATAACCAGTCAGGGTGTGGGCTATGGGGAACTCCTGTGGGGCACAAAATGAGAAAATCCCAGGAAATGCAGAAGAGACCTGGAACAAGAGTGTGGGCCGAACACATCCAGTCTGATAGAGAGATGAACCAAAGCACAGAAAACGTGACAGATCAAAAATGTGGCAAGGAAGGGGAGTGCAAGCCTACAGAGCAGCACCACAATTTCCGAATATATGGGAGGTAACTGTTGTCATATACAGTGCAAGAGTTCTATTGTCTTTAAATTGCAAGGATTCCATATTGCTAGAGTTTTATACCTCTTTGATGTTTTTCATGGCCAGCTCCTCTAGGCACTGACTCTTCCTGGCCCTCACAGCAGCCAACTGACTCCAGATCCCATCAATCCACTCTTTTATAACACTCTTCTTATTGGCTACAGCTGTGGCCTGTTAACATCAGGCCTGCTCCTAATCTTTAGTAATTGGTTCAGCTGCAACTCTTTAGGGGATAAGATTACATTCTATACCACCTTCATTTACCCATACTGTATCCCCCTACAGGTGACCATAAAGGAGACAGAAATCATCTGTTCTCCCTGTTCATAGCTGATAAAACAAGAGCTCATGGACTGGAATTGGGTTCAGGCTGGACTTGAGCATGTGCTCTATGGGGAAGGCTCTAATGATAGGCTGGAGGAACAGCTGTCAGGACTATTTTAGGAACTTGTCTTCTTTGTCCTTGCCCACCCTACAGCTCTGAACCTCAGAGAAAGGTTCGGCCGTGATAAATGGCACCCCTAACTGAGGGCTGGTGATGTGAATTTGATGGGTGTGGCTGTGAAAATGGTGCTCTGGGGTTGCAGTGCAGTACTCTAACACAGACTGTTTATATTCCAGCACATATTTTGGAAATAATAATGCAAACTATCAATATAAGATAATAAAGTGTAAGAAACCAGGAGGCTGGAAAGTGATAAGAATGTTCCTAACATGAAAAATAATTTTATTACCTAAGTATATGGATGCAGATGAACTATGTCTGAATTTCATTCTCTATTCTATTAGACAGACATGTTGATTTTTAAAATATTTTCTGCTGCTGTTCCATCTTCCTCTTTTTCCAAACCACGAGAGTGTCTTGAGAGGAGCTTTTACCTCACTGCTAAAGCAGCAGTTTTATGGAGATGTGTCCTTAAGAACAATGCTTTCCTTGGGGTGAAAGTGAATCCTGCTGTGCTGCTGAGCAGGCTGGAGCATCACCCCCTTGCCAGGGCTGTCCTTAACACAGTGTGAGCTTAACTCTGCCCTCAGAAGGGTCAGGGCCAGCACAAACTGGCTGCAGAGAATCCTCTCAAAGTTTCAGAGGCAAAAAAGACTTTCTCACACCTCTCCGAAAAGCAGCAGGGATAATCCAAGGGATAATTATGGAATACCTGCAGTCCATTCTTTCAGGATGGCAGGCTGAGGCTGGGACCTGCAGAGCCCATTCACACCACTGCTCTCAGACACAAAGTCTGGCCCTTGATGAATTCCATAGCAATATTTCAAGGGAGAGTGGAACTGGAGGTGGGAACATTCATCACCACACAGTTACAGTGTGGTAGTGGGGAAAGAAAAAGGAAAAGATGGAAGCAGACATCCCTGAAAGTCCTGCTGTGGCTCTATAACTGTGTGACATTATTAGAAAAATGCCTGAAATGAGTTATGGAACTAATTAAGGAAATATAAAAGCATGGATAAAAAGTTCCTGGTTAAGTATAATTGATAGTACAAATCTAATTTGAAAGGTTAACAAGCTCTTGAAAATTGTTGAATCAAGTACAGACTGATGTTTTTAATATAATTATATACAGCTAACAGATGGTATGGTCTTTTTATTATATTGTCAGCTATTGGATTTTCACTTCTTAGGCAAATAACTGAATTATACTAAAGATATTTATGGTTATTTTAAAAGCTTTTTTTCACTTTTCTAATATGTGGATGTACTGATCAAATGCATAATATTTACTATTTATAAAAATCTGAAAGACAAGATTTAGATAAGTATTCAGAATATTTCACCCCCCCTTCTAAAACAGCTTTATATTAGATCTTAATTAAAACTTGATTGGCTTTATGAATAACATAACTTTAGATATGTAAATATCTTTTCAGGCCAAACAAGAATTAGAAGAAGATTAGAAAACAAAGCAGCAGGGGAAAAAACTACACTTAATTCAAAAATTCTCATTGAAAAAAGCCAGTGAAAAATTAAATTTAATATGCACAATAATGTATGAGATACACCAATTCAGAAAGATCAGGAGAGAGGTGATTACCTCATTCCTAAACCCTGCAGTCTGTATTTGAGAGCTACTTTATCTGAGTTCTGAAAATCCCTGAAATAAAAGTCATTACTTACATTGGTATTTTTAAAACAAATCTCCATATAAGATTCAGAGTTCTGGCTCCTGTTGTGCTACTTACACCACTGAATAAGAAATTCTACAGACTTGTTACATATCAACCTAAAATTTTAGAGTTGAGGATTCAGAGATGAAGCATTACAATAATTATGTTGTATTCCTCATTACAGTCAGTGAGACTTCAGTATCTGAGGGCACCTCCAGGGAAGCCAGAGAGGGACTTTTTGTCAGGAACTGCAGTGAAGGGATAAGGGGGAATGGTTTCCCAGTGCCAGAGGGCAGGGATGGATGGGATATTGGGAATAAGGAATTGTTCCCTGGCAGGGTGGGCAGGCCCTGGCACAGTGTTTTCATTGTATTGCAAGAGTTCTATTGTCATTACACTACAAAGGTTCCATATTGTCAGAGTTTCACGCCTCCTTGATGTTTCTCGTGGGCAGCTCCTCTAGGCACTGACTCTTCCTCATCCTCACAACAGCCAACTGACTCCAGTTCCCACCAATCCACTCTTTTATAACACTCTCCTTATTGGCTACAGCTGTGGCCTGTTAACATCAGGCCTGCTCCTAATCTTTAGTAATTGGTTCAGCTGCAACTCTTTAGGGGATAAGATTACATTCTATACCACCTTCATTTACCCATACTGTATTCCCCTACAGCACAGGGTGCCCAGAGCAGCTGTGGCTGCCCCTGGATCCCTGGCAGTGCCCAAGGCCAGGCTGGATGGGGCTTGGAGCAGCCTGGGATGGTGGAAGATGTTCTTGCCCATGGCAGGGGGAGGAATGGGATGAGCTTTAGGGTCCCTTCCAACCCAAATCTTTCTGTGATTCTATGATTTACAAAGAGGAGGGCCCTCAAATTCATTCATTTAAGTATCAGACAAAATTGATTTAGTCCAAAGTGAATTTGGAATTTACAGCAAGCAGGACTCATCCCAGAATCCCAGCCTGGTTTGGGCTGGAAGGGACCTTAACACCCATCTCACCCCAGCCGCTGCCAAGGGACAACTTCCACCACCTGGGCTGCTGAAATCCTTACAAAGACAAGAAGCAGGACATGAATCACTGCTTTTGTATCAGTGCTCATCTCATCTAAATTTAGCAACTGAAGGGTAAGCACCTCCTTGTTAGGATTCCTGTGTAATCCCAGGGACTGATTGCCAGACACCTGCCATGGCCTTGCTGAGGTGCCTGTTTGCATTCAGCACAAACAGCAGAAATCCAAACAGCTCCTGAAGAGAACACATTTAAAACAGCTCAGTCAGATGGAGAAGGGAGGATAATATCCACACTTGAGAGCAGCCTCACTAAGTCAGAGCAAATGTGCCCATATTCCCCACACTCATCAACATCAGTTTCCTTGGGCAGCACTTGCACAAACACCCTCCCAGCTGGGCTTTCATTTTGAATTCTGCAGGCTAATGCTCATCCCTAGCAATAACCAAAGGCTCTGCTGGCATGGCCTGGGAGGAATCCAGGAATGGCTGCTGGTGAGGCCATAAAAATGGATAGCCTGAGCTTGATGGCTCTTGAAATAATCACACAGCTTCAGCTGTGGAGGAAATGAGGGATGGGAAATGCTCCTCCTGTGAGCTAGGAGCAAATAACTGACCTGGACAAGTTAGGCATCCCGCAGTCTCAACTTAATGAATTCATTGGACCCTTGGCTGGAGTGAAATAAATAAAACATTGCATTTTCTCACTTGTGGCTTGCCTCAAAACAGTCACAAAACAACTGTTTTGCCACTTGAAGGAAACTAAAAGTAATCTAAAAGTTTATGGGGGTTAACAGCTGATTACAATCAAAAAGCTGGTACAAGAGTGGATTCAATTGTTCTGTTTGCCACTCTTGTAGTCCTTGTCAAAAGGCTGGATGAATGCCAGCCTTCCTGTCCTTCTAACAGCCTTTGTCACAACAAAGAGGCATTTCAGTTTTACAGCCCTGTATTTTCTCTCAAAGATAACAGTAAACAATATTCCTTTGATGTTTTCAATGTTCTATAATTTTACTGAATGGTCCTTCTTATTCTCCCTTCTATATTCTCAAAACTGATGAAAAAGTGATGAAATGGCCAACAAAATAAAATAGAGAATTGTGAAGAGGTTAAAGCAGTGAGCCTGGCTACTGTCCCCCACGGGGCACGCAGGGTATAAAGACTTTTGTTTCATTTTTGATCGTTTTTGTCATAACTTTCTTGTGAAGTAACACCACATATACAACAAGCTCACACAGAAATTGCACATCATACAAAGAATCACCAGTTCCCAACCTAAATAATAGGTGAGTTACAGCTGATTCCATTCCTTTAGCAAATGCTCAACAAGTGAAAAAAGTGTAGCTATGGCTCCAGACAAACCCCAAATGAGCTGCTCGCTTGCAGACACTCCTCCTCATGCAGAGGAGATCAAAGAGCCAACATGTGACAAATTTGTCATGCTAACACCCCCCTGGAAGGGATGTGAGCCTGTGGTAATGGGGAGAGTGTAAGGAACCACTCTGCAGAGCATTGGTGGTGCTCTGAAATGAACTGAAGATGAAATAACACAGTGAGGTCTCAGTGGGGAAGGGAAGATACAGCACACTTATTGCTCCTTATGTGCCACATCCTTGCCCAGGCTTTGCAGCTGATTTGTGGGCTCCTCTGTGCTCCCACAAGGACAGAGTCAGTGTGGCATGGATGCAGTGCAGACAGAGAATGGGACAGAGCAGGGAGAACAGAGCCACTGCTGGCAGCTTCATCCCCTGCACTGTGAGCACTGCACTCAGCTGCATTCCTGCCTGGTGCTGGGCGACTGCAGACGCAGGGGGCAATGAGGCAATCACATCACTGAAGCTTTCCTGGTACCCAAGTAGTTATTTAAGTCCATCTTCACTTGAATTCTTTTCCCCTAAATGTGAATGTTTTGAGTATTCTGTGCTGGACACAGCTCCACAGACTGAATTCCAGTCTCACTTTGAACACCTGAAGATGCGAACCTGGGAAGGAGTGGAGAAGATGTGAATAGGGAGAGTCACCTTCCAGCACTGCAGTGTCCTGCTGTGGCTGGGTCCTTGTCTGGAAGCTTCCCTGACCTCTGATCACCTTCACCTCCTCCCAAACCTTCCGGGTGCACAGCAATCCCACTGGAACCTGGGGGATCAGGTCCTCCCTCTTCTTATTCATCCGATGGGAGCAATTTCTTACAAAGTGCCAGAGAGACATTTCTTGTTGCATTAAGGTAGAAAAGTTTTAAAGAAAGGCCTTATAAAATCAGGCCTGCTCTGTTAGATCAGTGGCTAGCCTGTCAAGCTAGCTCTTTGCAAGATCCCATGTGAAACTAATCCTGGTATGAACAGTTTGTCAACATAACAATCTATTCCTGGGTGCAAATCAACTAGCACCTGTATAAAATTAAACCCATCCCATGAGAATCGGTGAACAGAATAAGTAAACAATTTAAGAGCAGAGAGATTTGATGGACAAGTAAAATACCTTTTACTAACCAATAAATTGACAGGAAAGCTACTGACCAACTGGAGTCACACCCAAGGTCTGTAAAATTGTCTAAAAATTATTTATGCAAATAAAGAACAGGCTTTTTTCCTGCATGAAGAAAATGGAGTCTTGTGTGATTCATTCTGATAATTTCTGTAGTTGTTCAGGTCCTGCAAAATTCAGTGTGTGCCAAGATGTCCTGTTTCTGAGTACTTGATGCAGAACCTGAGGTAAAGCGGAACCATAAAAGGAGGGTTTTGCATCTCCCAGCCTCATTCCTGCTCCTCCTTGGGAAGCCACAATGTCCTGCAGAGTGAAAATATTCTCCACAAGAATAAGCTTTGGGCCTGGGCTCAGAGAAGCAGCTGTCCCTCAGGGACTCAGTGCCACAAAGAATTTGAGCACATGCAGAACATTTAAGAGCAGAATATTCAACATTTTGCTAAATAATATCTGAAGTGGCATAAGCTAACACCAAGCAAACTAAGGCAGAGTGGACAGAAACACCTCTTGTGTGAAATCCTGCTTTAGGACATAGCTGTAAAAAACATCAACACTTCCCAACAGCTGAAAAACAGCTACTGGAGGGGGTGGTTACTTTTTTGAGTGTTTGATGCCCTTTTATTGCTTTGATGGCCTCACATTTACTGGGCAACACAGAGAAACATAGATAAAACTCCTTCACATAACCACACAGACTAATACTGAGTAGCTTTCTGAATGCTGTCCCACCTAGCAGTGTTTTTGTGAGAGGGAAGGCAGGTGCACACAGATCCCTGTGTGAGATGCTGCCTGACAGGGCTCTCAGAAGAAAGGATCAGAGGAGTTCACATGCAGCTCAAGGCAAAACACACCAGCTATAAAAGAGTCTTGAAGACAGCAAGCACTTGAGGAATTAAAAACACCTTTTGACCAAGGAAAACTGAAGGGCAAACATGATCTTATGGGCTGAAAAAGGATCCAGATGACTTTCAGTGGAACTGCTGCAGTCCCTTGAGAGGGACAAGCTGGTTTCAAGCTATCACAGATCAACAGACAGCTCTGAGATGTTCCTGCTGGAACCTTCCCAGATGTCCAGGAAGGGAAGGGACCTTGGCTAGCAGGCTCTGAAAAGCAGCCTGTCTCTCATCCCTCAGGCAGAGTGGAAAAGCATGGCAATAATCTATAAATTATGTGGGTGATTTTTTAAAAATTCTTTTTAAAGGAAGAAAAACTCGCATAATGTAAGAATATGCAGAATATGAACACCAAAGGACAAGGGAAAAGAGAGAGAAAGCATTAATAGACACCAAAGTAAAAGGAGAATGGACAATGAGATTACTCTGGGGTCTAGATTTGATTTCTTTAATGCATTGGAAAAGGCTGGAGGAATATATAATTTTTGTAAAGCAACACAGTGCACTGCAAGAACAGAACAGAGAGCCACAAACAATGGATAGGCTGTGGAAAGTGATAGCAGGAAAATAATGGCAATCATGGTGGGGATGCAAGAACAGGGGGAAAGAGCAGAAATTCAGAAGGTGCTGAGCTGTAACATTTCAGAATCCCACAATCCCTGAGGCTGGAGAATCACTCCAGGATCACCAAGTCCCAGCTGTGCCCAGTGCCCACCTTGTGCCCAGCCCAGAGCACTGAGTGCCACCTCCAGCCCTTCCTGGGACACCTGCAGGGCTGGGCACTGCAAAGCTCCCTGGGCAGCCCTTGCCAAGGCCTGAGCACCCTTTGCATGCAGGAATTGCTGCTGCTGTCCCAGCTGAGCCTCCCCTGGCCCAGCCTGAGGCCCTTTCCCCTTGTCCTGTCCCTGTTCCCTGGCAGCACAGCCCGACCCCCCCTGGCTGTCCCCTCCTGGCAGGGAGTTGTGCAGAGCCACAAGGGCCCCCTGAGCCTCCTTTGCTCCAGGCTGAGCCCCTTGACAGCTCCCTCAGCCCCTCCTGGGGCTCCAGGTCCTTCCCCAGCCCTTCTCTTCTATACCTAATTACCTGTGAAATCAGAAACGTGAGAACAGAATCACGCTGGCACCAGGCTCTGGCACTGCAGGACAAGGCAGGAGCTTCCCTGGTTTATTCTGGAAAAATAAGTCTGTGACAGCAGCAGGGTCTGGTTATTCCTGGGTTGCAAGTAAAGGCCCCAGGTTTTGACAACAAAATAGGCATTTCACAGAAAAAAAAAATTAAAAAAAAAATATTTATATATATTTATATATAGATATATATGCAAATATATGTATGTGTATATATATACACATGTAATGTTAGTATATATATTTTATATATTTATATGTGTATATACATGTATATATTAGTACATATATTTTTATGTATTTCTATATATATATATGTATATATATTTATTTATACATGTGAATATATATATGCATATACTCACCAAAACATTATGCTCAGTACATACACACAGTGAAATACATAAATTTTAATTTACTATTATTGGCTTAATATATCATTAACATTAATTTATTAAGATTATTATTAAGATATTATAGTATATAATCTTTATTATTATTACATCTAAATTTATTAATCTTAATTTTTTTATTATTATCATGCAATATGGAGAATAACTAATAATTTCATGAGGCAGTTCCACTTCCAGCTTAAAAAAGAAATAAAACCAGGCTATAAATAAGGATTTTTTAATCAAAACAAAACAAACAAAAACCAAAATAGCAAAACAACCACAAACAAACAAACCCCAAAACAACAAAACTCCTGAAAAATTAGGAGCACTAATATCCAAAATGAACTTAAAACCTCGGGATATAAATGAACTCAGAAATTCAAAATCCTCTAAAATCTTTCTATCAAGAAGCAGAAAGAACTTCTTTAGGAGGCTTCTAGCCCTAAGTGGGTGATAATCAGCCCTAAAGAGATAATAGCTACACTCTAGAGGGAAAATAAGCAGCACAAGAAAGCAACATTTTAGAGATAAAACTGTGAGAATAATTTGAGAATGACCCTAAATCAAATGTTTTCTACACAGTGACAAGTGCCTTCATTCCTATAAATAGAATATTAAAAGGACGAGACATGAAGATGCTACAGGAATGGATTTAATTTTTTTTAAATTTGATTTTGAATTAACATTTTCCTTTGGCTAGGGGGAAAAGTGAATATTCTAAGGCAAAACCACACTGTCTATAAGGACCAAAGAACTGAAAAGGCTGCCACTGCCAAAAACCCCAGAAATTAAAGGATTTAGTGTGCTTACCCTGCAAGGACCTGAGAGCCCATCCTGGAAGGTGTGAGAGCACTGATGGATGAAGAGCAGTGAAACAGGAGAGGCCTCTGCCAGCTGGGGGTGAGGCACTGCCTGACCAGAGGAGCTGAAACCACACTCAGACTTCAGAGACAGAGCAAGAGGGGACCCAAAACAGCAGCAGCTCCATGAGTTTTATCCCAATGACACTCCAGGCTCTTGAAAACCTTTAGTGGGAAAAGCACAGTGGAAACCCTGGAGCCAACAGAGCAAGGACACAGGGCTGGGGTAGCAGAGGAATCCTGGCACAGCCCCCAGCCCAGGGGCAAAACATGACCTGGGGTGTGGGTCTGCATGCTTTGGTACCAGGGGGCTGCCAGAAGCTTCTCCCATGTCCAGCAGAGCCAATGCCTGGAGCTCCAAAGGCAGATGTGTGCCTGGCCAAGGATAGGCACTAAGAAATGGCAGAACCTGCCTCTGGGATGACAGACCGAAGGAAAAAGGAAATAAAAATGTTGTTGCACAGTCGTAATTGCAGCCAGAAGAGAGTGGGTTGAGAGGAACAGCTCTGCTGACACCCAGGGCAGGGCAGGAGGAGCAGGAGGTGCTCCAGGCACTGGAACCAACATTCCTCTGCAGCCTGTGGTGAGACCATGGGGAGGCAGCTGGGTCCCTGCAGCCCATGGGGATCCCTGGGGATGCAGAGATCCAACCAGAGCCCCTGGAGATCCATAAAGGATGCAGAGATCCATGGCAGCAGCCCCTGGGGATCCATGAGGATGCAGAGATCCCCCAGAACCCCTGGAGATCCTTGAAGGATGCAAACATCCCCCACAGCCCCTGGGGATCCATGAGGATGCAGAGATCCACCCACAGCCCCTGGAGATCCATGAGGATGCAGAGATCCACCCACAGCCCCTGGAGATCCATGAGGATGCAGAGATCCCCCAGAGCCCAGGTGTCTTTAAAGGGTTTATTTTACTTCTCATGATCCTGCTCTGATTTTGCAAGTAATAAATTCAATTAATATCTCTAATTCCAGCCTGTTTTGGCCATGATGATATTTGATGGGTGATCTCAACCCATAAACCCTTCCTGGCATTTTCTCTCCCATGTGCTGCTGTGGAGGGCAGTGAGAGACAGACTTTGGTGAGTGCCTGGTGCCACAACACCTAGTAATATGGGCATGAGGCAAACCTGTAAAATAAGCAAGAGAAAAGAGAGAGAAAAGTGAGAGAATGATGTAAAAAAGTCAGGCATTCATTGCCTAACTACAGGAACTGGTGTGAAGTGCTGGGAGGGGGCACCTGGAAGTGCCACAGCTGCAAAGATCTCAGTGAGCACCAGAAGCAGAGCAGGCAGGAGGGTGATTAGAGGCTCTCCCCTCAGAAGAGATAAAAACAGGCTAAAAGAATTTATTGTTTAGCCCAGCAAAATGCCAGCTGCTAACAGCTGCAGCTGTGCTCAGTGCACGCAGAGGGGGGGTGAAGGAAGTCCAAGCACTGTGCTGGCAAAGGACAGATGGGTAAACTGGCATGAGAGGAACCTTGCAGGGACAGGTGAAGCCCTCCAGCCCCGTTCTTTCTGCTCTCAAACACTTCTCAGCAATGATTTAATCCTAAATGCCTCTCCTGATGTGGAGCACGCTGAAATGCGTGTTGCTGTGTGTCAGTTTGGTAAGCAGAGTACACAGAACTGCAATAATACATTTTGACAAACCTGGAGGGGGGAGAGTGAAGGTTGTGTGTTTTATCTCTGTATAATCAGAGAGAGGAAAAAACCCTCTCAGTGGATAAGCTCAGTAGGAGCCATAGGAGCACAGGATTATTGAGCTCAGAAAGGACTTCAGAAGGTTTCAGCTCCAGCCTCCTGCTCATGGCAGGCTCAGCTGCATGGGCTCAGTTCACACTGCCTTTCTTAGCAACCTGTCCCGCTGATAAAGATCTGATTGGGAAAAAGCTTTTCCTTCTGTCCAGATGGAAAAAACCCCAATGCACTCCCAGACCTTACAAAACACAACCAAACTATGCAAGGGAATTTAGCAGAAAAAGACTGTAAGTAATAATTTAATAGTTGCCTCAGCTCAGACTTGTCTCTTTTATGAACTATTGATTTCACTACAGAATATTCTTAAACCTGCTGAGTAGAAGAGTTCAGCTGAAGCAAATTTACTGCACTGAGGAGGCTCCTGCCATTACTGAATCTTTGGCACCTCTTTGGGAACAGGTCAAACCCAAATCCTTTCCTTTAATTCCCATGCACACTCTCTGTCCCACTTTCCTTCCAGGAGCCTCAAGGACAGTCCCCATTTCAAGATGCTCCAAAATGTGAAAGCAGCAGGGAATGAGATATGGGAGAGGGGAAGGAGAGCAGGAGCAGGGTGTGAGCTGCTGCAGCTCACTGGGGGCAGGGTGACAGAAATGGGTCTCTGAGATGGACATCAGTGTGCTCAGTCCTTGCAGGGACCTTCCAGGAGTCACATCCTGCTCAGGAGCTGGCAGGGCGGTGCAGAGGATGAGCTCACATCACCTTCCGCCCCTGAAAAACCAATTTACTCTGACCCAGCAAAGGATACTTTAAAAGAACTACAGATTTATACAAACAGAGGACAGCAAAGATTTTTCTAATCTTGGCCTGAAAATGTATATTGAAAGAGAAACCATCCAGTGCCACTTGGTACAGGCAGTAGGCACAGTAAAGGAGTGAGTAAACAGGATTATACTTCCAAGAGAAAATATACTTTATCAGTATTACTCAATATTTGTTTCAGTATTTGTTGCTATTATATATTATATCTAGATATTTCAGTATTTGTTTCTATTATATATTATATATAGATATTTCAGTATTTGTTATATATATATTTCAGTATATTGTTATATAATGTTATATATATATATTTCAGTATTTGTTGCTAGTTCAAACATCTTCCTCAATTTCCATGAACAAATCACTGATAAAAAGTTCAAAAACATCCTTGTGATCTTTCCAGATTTTAGTTTTTAAAAAAAATACTGATGAGTATTTCCCAGATACCTCTTGGCTGACTGCTGTCATGAAGAAATTTAAATTCCATTGAAGACTCTCTTTTTCCTTTCCTGGAAATTCCTAAACTATTTTCCAGTGTTTCAAGTGTCTCCTGAAAAGAGAGAGGATCACTTAATTTCCAAGAAAGGAAGTAGACCTCTTCCCATCTGGAGATAACTTCTATTTAGGGCATGTATCTCACATTATGGCAAGAAATGCTTCAAGGTAATGAAATCAAGTTTAACTCATGAGCACTGCTGTTCATTCTTTGTACAGTGATCCCAGAGAAACAGATCAACAGATTTTAGCTTTAATGAAGTGCCTCTTCGATATTTGCTGATCCTAAAAACCCTTCTCTGACGAGTACTTTAGTTACTCATAATTGTATTCTTTCATTTTCCTGATCATCCCACTGGTACCTCAAAGGAGCCACTGCTTTTGTTTACCCTTATTTCAGCTTTTTGTTTGGTTAATTACCACATCTGAGATTCTGTTTTGTAAATCAATCTCTTTTTTCAAGTGCTGATTAAGAGCAAACACTCCAACAAACACAGACACAAACAAGAGGAGTTTCCCATCCTGGTGCCCAGAAGCTGCACACACTTTTACTCTGGGTGATTTTGGATATTTTCAGGTACTGAACACAATCAGTTTGAACAGATGGGGATTTTGGTTTGGGTTGATGCTCTGGAGGAATGTTATCTTCAAAGACTGAACACCTTCCAGCGATGGTGACTATTTCCTGAGGGTCTTGGTGCTTTCTAAAGCTGCAACCTGAAAGCACAAATTTTTGCAATAGCACTTTTTCTTTCTCAAAAAAATTGTGCATGAAAATTTAACTGCTGGTGACTTGGGCAGGGCTGACCAAAAGTGTCCACCACAACCCCAAAATGAATGTGTGCTGTTGGAGGGCACCAGCAATTTCCTCCCTTTCATAATTCAGCAGCAATTTCCTCTGTGTTTTTACATATTCTCTGACCAAATTACTAATTTATACTAAGTGGATCTAACAGAGTTGCAAATGCTGGGCAATACTTGTTTCCAGCCAGTAACTCTTGAAGACCTTAAAACTCTCCAACTCCCAAACCCGTAAGAATCTCTAATTATTTCCTATTTCCATCCCATCCCTCAAGAGGGATTACATTTCTGAAACTTGTAAAACACAGTAAACAGAGGCTGAAGAATTGGCTCTTTGGGACCAGAATCACATTTGGGGAATTTACAACCATTTCCAAATGTCAAGAGAGGCTTTCAGGCATGGAAGGCAAAAAGCCAAGAGAATTAACCCTTAGAATGAGTCTGTGCTATTTATGTACCTTTTATCTCATTGTTTAGTGTGTAACAGCAACACAGTTCACAGTTTATACCTGAGACCCTTTAAAAAGCAGCAGAATTTTCACTGCCTTGTGATCTCGGTCACCCAGTGCTTCCAGACCTCTCTCTGTCACTTTTTGTTCTTTTTTGGGCTCCCCATTCCCTCTGCTGGGCTGAGTGCAGGAGAAACGAGGCTGTCTGGTGTTCCACCTTTGGCTTCAGAAACAACTTCCACTGACATTAAGTGACAAACACACACCTAAGATTAATTGCTTGCTTTATAGCCCCAAATACCTCAATTTTAAATAAGCCTTGCCCAGGATAAAATGCGCACATCCATGGCAGACATACAGATAAATCATAAATCAGTGTGGGCATTTCTAAGTCTATAGGGGGATAGAAAAGAAAGCCCAGCAAAGGAAGCTGTTGAAATAGCCTTGTGTTGGCTTGGGTTTGTTTTTTTCTTCCCCCAAAAATTCTGGCTCAGAGCAAGATCTGTGATTCTTTACAGCTGTCATGTGCTATTGTGGCACAGGGTGATTCATTCTAAAGCAGTGTAAAGGAGACAGCAAGGGAGACATGCCTTAACTCTATTTCCAGTGTCATGAATCCACGGAATAGTCTCAGTAAATTCCTGTCTCAAACATTAAAAGAAAATGAAGATGCTGGGTATATTTGATATATGCTCAATATACTATCCAGTGAAGCTTAAAATAATGTGGTTAAAAAAAATATGGGAACTTAATTCCCAAAGAAATAATGGACAGGACATGCAGAATTCCTAGCTGGAATCTCTGGAATTTACACAGAAGTCCTTCATGGATAAGGAGAGACAGATAAACTGACTGGAAACTAAAACTTTCAAGTTTTTTTACCTGGAGACTGAAAAGATCATCACATTCTGCAACAGCTTCTGTGCAAACAATGGCTAAAAATCAAAAAGGTGAGAGAGGGATGGCAAAGATGAGAGAGATGTTTGACGGAGAGACAACCAAGACCTGTTATATACTGTTATGAAAGGAATGGGAATGGAAAGGGGGAATGGGGTGGAGATTTTTCATTTTGCTTTAGGATTTTTACTGCACCTTCCAGTGCTAGAAGCACGTGGCATTCAGCACAGCTGCAAATAACTCAGGCTCAGAAAAATCAAATCTGGGTGGGTACTTCTGAGCCACAGAAGTGGGCAGTAAAAGGGGGACTGGACAAAATAATGGACAAGTGGAGTGGGCAATGTCCCAGGGGCACAAACAGGACTGAGCTGCTCCCCACAGCACCCCTGGCACTCTCAGCATGCCAAGGCAATGTGCCCTGGTGCCATTCTGCTGCTGGGCTTTGTTCCCTGCCCCTGTTCTCTCCTCAGGGCTGGGGGCTGGCAAAGGCTGTCATCAGCTAAAAGGGCCCACCCCCAGAATCCCTGCCAACAGCACAGCTTGAAAAGCTCAGGGAATTCTTCAAGCTTTTACCTTCAGGGTAGCCCATCCCATGGATTTTTCTCTGCTCTCACACAAGAAAAAATTGCTTCCAGCTTTAGCTCTGCCCTGACCCAAATCCTTGTCTCAGGGATTTAGCGGAAGTTCCACCACTGCTTTGAAAGATGGGAGGGATTTGATTATTTGTTTTGATGTTTGTACAGCAGTGGCTGAAGCCATAAAGAATCTCAGCACCTCAAGTTCCACCCTGGCTAGCCTGGATTCTCCAGATCTTTCAACAGGAGCCATGGGCCAGGTGGGGGAAATAACACAAATCCCCAAAGCCAGTGGAAAATATTTGCAGAGGTCATAATAATCATAATGTTAGTTCCTTTTTCTTTTGCTTCTTTATCTTCTTTTTCTTTTTCTAAGGCTCCTTGATTGGGAAGGACTTGCCAATCTGAGATTGCTGTGTAAAGAATTCCCAGCAAGGAAAAGGTGTGAGCTTGGTGAGGGGCTGTGTGAGCTGCTCAGGTTGGAAGTTCCTGGCAGCAGTGAAAACTTGAAGAACTACCTGAATACTGAGCTTTTAATCTTCTTGTTCATGGTTTTGTAAAGTGAAAAATGAGCTCAAAAGGTAGCTCAATTCACAATATTCAAATGTAGCATCACGATTTCCAGGTTTCTTATTCTTCTGGTATGAACAATTCAGCAAATACAACAAAATAACAATTATTAAATGCTGACATGCCATAAATCTGCATTATTTCTCCTCAAAAACAATATTTCTCCCAAAGATACTACGTAGGGGGATTCTCCAAAGATAAAATGTTCTGGCAATCACCTGGATGTGTTCTCCTCTCTGGTTTCTCTGTCTGCCCTGAATCCAGTTTTTCCTTTCACCTCCACAGCGCCCAGCACAATTTGACTACAATGAAATATTTTCCCATTATGTCTTGCATTGGTGTTGCTGTCACTGAGCTGCCTTTTCCCTCCCCACATCTGTTTATTTTGATACATTAGGGTCACCAGAGACTGTGTGTGACTCAGGTCTGCTCGTGTACATTACAACCTTGTCCCAGTTCTGCAAGGAAAATTGTTGCTAAGGCATGAGAAAGGATAGGAGCTGAAGAAATGGAAGATGAGAAAGGCATTGACTGTCATGAAGAAATTCAACTTCTGCCCCATCAAAAACATAAGGATTTGGTGCCTTCAAAGAGCTCCAGAAACTGAGATTGAAATTTTACCAGAGGGCAAAGCACTTCATACTTTTGTCTTAGAAATAAACAAGAACTAGTGATACTACATCAAGCAAAAACTGCTTTTCTCCTGTTTGATAAACTTTTTTCTTACTTGTTGACTGAAATCACTCACAGGGGGAAAGTGAATGCAAAAGAACAAAAAAAAAAAAAGGACAGTGAAAAACATAAGTGGAGGAAATTCTTGAGACAGAGCTGTCTCTGAAGTACTTTTGGAGAGCATTACTTTTATTTAATACAGAGAAATCTGATTTCACTCCATCATAGATCATCCATTCAACAAAGTAATTCTTATCTGTCTTGATTTTTCCTGACTGTATTTGTTATTTTGCTGATAATTCTTCCTCTACCAAGCAGTCTGGAACCAGATGCTTCTGTTTCTAAGTTCCAAGGCATTTCAGGCTAACTGTGTATCCTGTCTGCACACTTCTCAGAAACACAGTAAATCTCAGATTAAAAAAAAAAAGGCCACAAGCAAGACATTGAGAAAGCCACAAGAAAAGAATGAATTCCAGCCAAGGATGTACCTTCAGATTCAGCAATTTGTTCTCTTAAGCATTTTTACTCAGCTGGCAATATCAAGATGAATACCTGCTTTCTCTTAATGCTCTCTCCTCCTGAGAACACTGTCACTCTGCAAAACACCAGACTAAATAATGCATTTCTAAGTTGAGGAGGCTTAAAGAGTCCAAGAAGACAACAGCAACAAATTCTGAGGAACAGCACTGCTGGCTGGAATAAAAAAAGCCAAGCAGACAGCCTCAATGGCAGCCATAAAATACAAACAACCCTGGATTTACCCAGATAAAGATATTTGAGAAAGGCACATAGCAGGCCTGTCATTTAGATTTCTGTTCCCTCTTTTTTTTCATATGTTCCAGAAAATCTTTTATTTACTCACATTTTCACACACTTCTTTCTTAAAAATAATATTCTGGAGGGAAGTGGGGTTTGAGATCAGTGCTCAAAACCCATGTGTGGCTTGGGAGTTCATACTGCATGTTCAAACAGACCAGCGCTACATTAACATCACAGATATGAATTAAGCATTATAGATATCAATTAAGAAGATAAAAAGTTCTTACCCACCTGCCAATCAATAGAACTCATCATCCTCAGGAAATGAAAAGCCTTTCTAGTCAGGGCCAAAGTAAAACCAGGAAATTCATTCTGCTACAAACCACATCACTTCTCTGAAGGAAGAACCTCTCAAATCTTCAGAGTCTTCTGTGCCTGACTGACTCTTAAGCAGGGCTTAAATCCAGAATACAGCATAAACTCACAGCCAATATGCTAAAAATTAAAAAAAAAAAAAATCACCTCAGTTGATTTTTCCCTCCCAAAAACACAAGCTTTTATCAGTCAGCATCTGATCTTTTATCTACCAACCTTTCAACCCATCAACTCTTCTCTCAACCCATCGACTCTTCTCATTTCCTTTAATTGTTCTTAGTATTTACTTTTTTCTTAATACTTCTTTTTGGCTAATTTAGGTGAAAAAACATGCTGACAAAGCAGAATGTTTTCATATAATCATAGGCTATCTCAAGTTGGAAGGGATCCACGATGAACTTTTTGGCAATTTTAGCAGCAGAGCCAGACACCACTCAGCACTGGAACAGTTGCCTCTGAGGCTCTGTCCCATCCTATTGCAGCCCAGAGTTTAGACACTACACAAAAATATTCTGCTTACAAGACAAATTTTCCTAAATACTAACAGGCAAACTGCCTTGCAAAAGCCTTGGAAAATTAGAAGAAGTTGAAGGTTTTCTGGTGATGTTATCACAATAGATAAGAAAAAAAGAGAAAAGAATCATCATAGCGTGACAGAATGGTTTGGGTTGGAAGGGACCTTGAAGATGATCTCATCCCACCCCCTGCCATGGGCAGGGACACCTCCCACCATCCCAGGCTGCTCCAAGCCCCAAAGTCCAGCCTGGCCTTGGGCACTGCCAGGGATCCAGGGGCAGCCACAGCTGCTCTGGGCACCCTGTTTGTCCAGGGTTTGTCCACCTCCTGTTATTATTAGAAATGATACATTGCCAGGTGTTTCACACAAACCTCTTCATCCTGGGCTTATTATGCCATCCAAAACTTTCTTCAGAGAAAGCCACCACAATTCCAGAATTCCATTAATTAATTAATTACCAGAATTCCACGATTCTGGTAATTAAAGGGAATAAAGAAGTTTGATTTTCAACCCAAACCCTGGCCCAGGCTTTAGCAAACTCAAACCAGAATGTAAGAGAACTGAACGTGAACAGCTGAAGCTACAAAAGACTTTTCTGACCTGCTCTGTGTTCCAACACTGCCATTATTGGCATACGAGAGAAAGAGATTTCATTCGTGAACTTAACATCAAAGTTCCCTGTTGCACAGGAACAGGGAATTTCTTCCCAGCTGCATGGGTTTGGGAGCTGCACACACACTGCTCCTTCTCTCCTCCAAAGCCCTGAAGGTCTGAGAAGCTCCATGGGGTGATTGCAGGGAACAGGGAAAACTCAGTGAGATGAAACCTGACCTTTGTCAGTCCTTTGGAGCACTGCAGGCTCATACCTGGAGCACAGAACACTGAGTTTGTGTCACCCTGAATTTTTAAGATTTTCTAAGCCTTCTAATGTTTACATTCTTGTAGCAAACTTTCACACACACTTTCTGTAAATAACTTATTGTTTTGCATTCTTTTATGAAAGAAGAGAAATTTGATAGACTGTTAGTTTGCTCAGTGCGATTGGAGAGGTGCCACTTCCACCCTCCAATCCACTGTCACTTTTAGAAAACTATAAATATTCGAGTCAGAAATAAACTTCCCTTTTTTCCTCACCTTGAGAGCAGTGCTGTGTGCGCAGCAGGGGTTTTGTGTCCTACAGTGACAAGTTTGCTCTCAGTACTTGGTCTCAGTATTTCTAACCGGTTGTCATTACATTGCAAGGGTTCCATATTGCCAGAGTTTCACACCTCCTGGATGTTTCTCATGGACAGCTCCTCTAAGCACTGATTCTTCCTGCCCTCACAGCAGCCAATTGACTCCAGTTCCCACCAACCCACTCTTTTATAACACTCTTCTTATTGGCTACAGGTGTGGCCTGTTAACATCAGGCCTGCTCCTAATCTTTAGTAATTGGTTCAGCTGCAACTCTTTAGGGGATAAGATTACATTCTATACCACCTTCATTTACCCATACTGTATCCTCCTCTACAAACCAGTTGTCTGCTTTGCAAAGCCCTTTCTGGGCTGCCTTGGACACCCTGGGCACTGGGTTCTGCACCCAAATGTCAGAACTGGGAGCTCTGAGCACCTTGTTTGGCACACACACGTGAGAACTGCTTCGTGCCTCGTGTACCAGCCCAGCTCACACCCAGGCTGTTCCTTCAGCTCCTCTGTGACAGGCGTGAAACCTAAATTAAAAAGAGGCAGAGCTGGAACCAAATATTCCAAATGCTCACTCTTACCACTTCATCAGCAGCAAAATGCTTTCACTCATAATTGTTCTCATTACAACAGAAAAAAGCCAGAGCATAAACAATGCTGAGCTTGGTATGCAAGGGATGGCATCTCCATGGCTGAGCTGAGAGTACAGCACAGGCATCTTCTTCAAACTGGAGTCAACAATTATTCCACACATGGCAGAGGATGGAGCTGAAAATAAAGAGAAGGAAGTGACAATCTGCCAAGTGGTGTGTAAACATGATGGCAGCCTGAAAAGATTGCCAAAGATATTCTTTTACTGACATTATGTCTTCAAAGCATTTTTCTTACCTTTAAAAGATGCAGTCTGCACTTCCTTGATCAAAATTACTCATTTACTCATCAGGAAGAATTTATATTATGTGTGGTTTTTCCTTCAAATAATGAAAATATGCCTTTAATTGTCACTCTGTTCTTTTAAGTTCTTCAAAGCCTTTTGATGTTTACATTTTTGTAATGAACTTTCTTATGCATTTTTATGTAAATAGTTATTGTTTCACATTCTTTTCTGGAAGAGGAGAAATTTGTTGAACTGTTGGTTTGTCCGGTGCCATTGGAGAGGTGGCACTTTCATCTTCCAATCCACTGTCACTTTTGAAAGTCTATAAATGTTGGAGTCAGGAAATAAACTTCCACTTCCATTCTTTTTACCTTGGAAGTTCCAGCGTGAGTGTCATCTAATTTTGTGTCCTAGAACAACATTTATTATTAATTATTTTTGCTCAGAAGTAGATTTCGTGGCTATGTTTTAGTTAGGATTTGTCTCTCTCTGGTTGATTCAGATGGCTGTGAGGTCTCTGATACCTGGAGCTCACTCTTGTCACCAATGGCAATGTCAGCTTGGAAACTCAGCCTCTGCTTCTCTCTGAGTGGCCAAAGGGTCTGAAAAAGGTTCCTGGACAAAGTGACCTCCTGCCCAGGCACAGCATGAGCTGAGGAAGGACACTTTGGGCATTTTCAGTAATCATTTCCATTTCCAAGAAGGATTTTAGAAATTGGTTTCCATCTCAGGCTCCCTTCCCTCCTCTTGTCCTGCGTACACGAGGGAGCTCCGAGTGGGATTCGCTGGCTGCCTGGCACGGGTTCTGTTTGCCTGTCTCCTGCCGCAGCCGCAGAAGCAGGAGCAGCTGTTGGTAGAACATTCCTGAGTGTTGTTCTGGGGTGTGCAGCCAGACATTTGTCAGGCTGCTTTGATTTCCTGAGGACTGCAAGGCAGGTTCTGCTGGATAATTCCCATCTGTGACTCCGAGCCGCTTCTGCGAAATCCACCCCAAGCCTCCAAGGAAGATTTCCTCCTCCAGATTTTTGCTCAAGGCTACTTTTTATTAGTTTTCTTCAAGAAATCTTCTTTTGTATTTGTTTTCCCTTGTTAACACAGCTATGAAAATGGAAAGAGGCAGGTTTAGGAGTAAGGAAAACATGCACATTCCCAAAAGACAGCCACATTCTTTGCCACCTTAGTATTTACAAGTGCTGCTAAAGCCAGCAAAATCACAAAGATTTCAGTAAAAGAATTTTCTATCCTCCCAGAGCTGAAGAAACATCATCATTTAAACACATTATATACATGTCAGATATAAACTTCCTTTTCGGTCTAAGTGCCTACAAACCATTTTCCAAAGGACTTCTGGAAACAGCAAATCACTTTTTTTGCATTTGTACATAAAAGATAAACACATATTTTGCAATGCCTTAAAACAACCCTTCGATTTCACCCTTCACCATTCAAAGTCCAAGTGGACTTTGTTTTGTTCACTCACTCTACACTTGAAATAGTAAAAAAAGTTTAATTAAAGCTTTATTGCTGAATACCACCTTTGAATAGAATAAGCCAAAGTTTTGCATGAGATGGGAAATGTCTCCAGATTTGGAGAAATTATTATGTTAAATGGGTTAAGGCATTGTCTCAAAACTAAAGGAAGCTTTCCAAATGCTTTCTTCATGACTAAAATAATGTTTGAGCACGGGGCAGAAATTAGATAGTCTTTTTCTGCAGGAAGAAAAAAAAATTAGAAAAAGCCATTTTTCCCCACACATTTTCTATAGGAATCTTACCTAGATGTTAAACTTTAGGTACGTGATGCATTTAGCTTATCTCTGTGAGTGAGGGAGATGCCCAAGCTGTGGCCTTGGATAAACATCACACAGATGGGAACACCAGGAGCACACAGCCCTGATTGTGCAGGGCTTGCCGGGTTTCCTTCCCAACACCTGGCTCCTTTGCAGGTGCTTTAGTGGGATCAAAGGCAGGGGCTGGAAAGGCCCTTTGTGGGTGCCCCGTGGGGGAAGCCCTGCTGAGGGTGCATCCTGGCTCCATCCCTATTTCCATGCCCGTCCTCATCCCTGTCCACCTTTCCATTCCCATGTCCATTGCCCTCCCTATTTCTATCCTCATTCCCATTCCCATCCCTGTACCCTTCTCCATTCCTATTTACATTCCTTTCCATCTTCCCACTCTCATTCCCCTCCCCATTCCCATTCCAATTCCCACTCCTTCCCTCATCCCCATTCCCCTCCCATCCCCATCTCTTTGCCTGTCCCCATTCCCCTACCATCCCTGTCCCTTTTCCTCTCCTCAGTCCCATTCCCATCCTCATTCCCTCTCCCCATCCCTTTCCCTCTCCCCATTCCCATTCCCTGTTCTCATTCCCGTTTCCTCTCCCCATTCCCATCCTCATCCTCATTCCCTCTCCCCACTCCCATTCCCATCCCTT